GCCGCCACCACTGAAGCGTCCTTTGGTGCCACCGCCGCCACCGCCGCCGCCACCACTATCACCGCCACCACCACCGCCGACGCTCGGCGGATCCTGGGACGACGACAGATCCTCCGCGGCGGCGAGGTCTCGCTCCTCCTTGACGCCGAGCGCGCCAGCCGCGAGTAGTTCCAGCGGTAGGCTCGCGCACGCGATGTCGGGGCTTTGAGAGGCCGACGAAGACATACCCTCGACGCTACCTCCTCCGTTACCACCACCACCGTTGCCGCCGCCACCACCACCACCCCCGTTACCATTACCACCGCCACCTCCGCCGCTCCTACCACCCCCCGTTTCATGCACGACGACCTCGTGCTGATGCTGTTGATGATGGTGATGGTGGTGGTGGCTGTGATGGTGATGATGATGGTGGTGGTGGTGGTTATGATGTCTACCCCCACCGACCACGATACCCCTACCGCCACCACTTCCCCCTCCTCCCCCTCCTCCTCCTCCGGCGCCTCCGCCTCCTCCGCCACAGTTCCCATTCGAGCCGCCCCCACCGCCCCGGCCATGCGTAGACACCGCCGCCGGGGAATCGACCGAGTCCAGTAATTGCTCGCTATGCGATTGATGATCGCCTATGTCCCCTATACCTTCCATTTACGCACATCTAGTTCGGTAGTGGGCGCACTGCCACTCGCTCCTTCGCTGTCGTACGCCGCCGACCACGACACACCGTACCGTAACACCACACAGAGCGCGCGCGTTTATAAGTTTTTCTTTTTTTTTTCTCGCAAGGAGCACTCGATACTCTTTGTTCTCTTCTTCGAGTATAATCGTCGTTCCAAAGGGTTGTTATTCTCGACCGATCACTGACCTCAGGTGATCTCTCAGATCACTAATTACCGCACGACCGCGAAGCGACGATGTATACGATCATCTCGGCAACTACCTCGCGAATAGAGCGTGTAAGTGGACGACGATGACGACGACGACGAGGAGGACGCTGATGCTGAGGCTCCACCGTCACGCCGGATCGGCATAGGGAGCACCCGGTGGTAGCGCAACGACCACCGTGCGCCCATGACACCGCGCGAGTGCGGAGCGAGTGAGAGCGCACGCTCTCTGCGCTCGCGCGCCCGAGTGCGAGCGCACCCAGCACCGGCTCTTCCCGGTGGAAGAGAGACAAGGAGAGAACGAGAGTGAGAGTGAGAGTGAGAAAAAAAAAGAGAGAGAGAGAGAGAGAGAGAGAGAGAGAGAATGAGAAAGAGAGCGCGAGAGCCACCAGGCGGACCCAGAATACAGAGGACGAAGTGGCGTGAAGGGGGTTTCGATTTCACCGCGCTCGGTCCCGCACCGCCGCCGCTGCCGCCTCGGTTACGTTACGTTCCGTTCTCTATCGGGGACTTGTTCCGCTCCGCCCCCTTCCCCTAATGGTTCCTACCCCGGGTGTTCCGAGTCATATACACTATACCGGCACCGCTACCACCTGGTCTGCTCTACTACCCTGTTACACTACTACTACGATCACTAATATATCACTACCGCCGTTCCGCTCGCGCGCTTCTTCGTGTCGCGTGCCACGAATTCCTCTCCTGGTCCAGGTGCGACACCGCGTTTCTGTCCTTCTCTTCCTCCTCCTCCTCCTTCCCCGCCACGTGTCAGTTTGTTCGTTCGTTCGTTCACGGAGGGGAGTCGTTCGCTCACACACCGCACCACCACTGTCACTATCACTACACCAGCACACCGTTCAACGGAACCGTTACCGTTGTACCTGCGCGCTGGTCCCGTTCGCGCCTTTTCTCCCCACGGAGAGTGGAGGATTCACGTCCACGTGAAAGCGAAACCCGATATCAGAAGAATCTCGCTGTTTTATTTCACGCGGACGATTCGCGGACGACTATATACGAGAGTTTCTAAAGACAGTTGCTCGGAAGACGACTGTCGATCTTCGCGATTGTCTTTTCGCGATTGTCCCTTTCGTGCTCGACGAGACTGCAAGGGTGCGACGATAACTTCGTACGTACAGAGCGTTAAGTGACAGAAGCGACCCCTTACCGGTCACACTCGCCGGCTGAAGTCCACCACCATCAACGGCGCGCCACTATAGAGGTGTGTGGGTGACACGGACACCCACCGCCCACCACCGTCACGACAACGACGACGACCACTACCACCACCGCCGCCACCACCGCCACCAGTACCACCAGCAGCAACTCCAACTACGACGCC